GGGGGGGGGGGGGGGGGCGGCAGAGAGCGAGAAAGAAAGAGAGGGAAGCGGAGGCTCGGTCACTGACTCTAGAAACGGCAGCTTCTGTGCTCCATTCACGGCCACGCCGCCTACTCCCTGCTGCTGTCGCTGCCGCCGCCACCACAACGAGCGGCAGGACATTTTGCACGGGGCGACTTTTTACATGGTTATCGCGCATCTGATTTATCGCGCCATGTTCCGATCGCGATCCTCGCTTGCAGTCGCCTGGAGTGGGAATCACGTTGGACGTATAGGTACTTACTGACTGTGTAATGCCTGTCGCTCCGATGAAAATCCGGTTCTTTATACGTATATTTTTTAAAAATGATTCGCATCAGAGACCAAACTTCAGATGTCGCGGCGGAAATTAATCTTTGGATTTGATGTGAAATCGGTGAGGGACGAGGTTTGTGTTTGGTGTTTACAATGACGCGTATATACGTTGCAGATTCGTAGGATTTTGTCGCCGCTCTTTTGGAATCGACAGTTGCTTGTTTCTCGACTCGGGACGCAGCGGCAACAAGTTCCGATCGATTGTAGGTCCGACTCGTTAATGACGCCGATGATTACGCTGGGAGAGTGGTGGGCTGTCAAATGGTAAAGTGGTGGAAGGTTTATTACTGCTCGGGGAGGATCTTTTTAAATAGAACGAATGGCGTATGCTCGCTTAATTACCGTTCATTAACGAAGCAGTGTCGCGTAGAGCGCAGCGCGGAATTTCACTGGTTGGAAGAGATTTCTATCGGAGCTTTGTTGCCTGCCTGTCGGCAGTGTCAGTGCCGTCGTTTCTATCGTGCAACGACCGTAGAGAAAACGTACCACCACCACCACCACTACCACCACCACCACCACCACGCTGCTTGACTTTCGATATTCTCGAGCGTCCGTCAGCCAGCGCGATGCACCTCGACACGTCAATGCCAATCATCGTCTCGTGCTTTTTTACCCAGAAAGAGAACAAGTTCTTGATTGATACCTCGAAGACGTTTAATTTTTTTTAATTACCATCCATAAGGTCAAATGTCATTTTACCACTGATATCCGTGTCCCAGGACACAGTGGTACAATCTGAATATATCTATAGGCAACCTCTGGTAACATCACAACGGAATATAATCTACATTTAAAATGATATACTCGCGGTGTATTCGCTATTTGCATGTCGCTCACGCTCGAAATATCGGTAACGAGCAAGCGTAGCTTTGTGTTGCCGATTTAGAAAGGCCTCTGGGATCCTTTCTCCCCCTTTTGGTCTTCGAAAGAAAACAAAGAGGTCGGATCTCCTATTATTCCCATACAATGATGCGCGAGCACTCCGACGAGTCCTGGGCCAGGATTATGTCGCTGTTGCGCTTAGGTCGTGTCCTGGACTGGACTACTGCAGGAGCAGGACGAGAGGCTTGACGGCGATGCTTTGTCCCTTGACGGGTGGCAAGGTCTTGGCTGGCGAGCGGAGGAGAGCGTGCGCGCGCGCGCGCGCCCCTCACAGTCAACCGAGGTGGCGCTGTTCCTCAATCCAGTTGCCGGCTGTCGTGCAGCATGGTCGTGCCGTCAGCCGAGCGAGCGAGTCGGTGTACTACTGGGCGGCGGAGGGGCGGCGGAGGGGAAGGACGATATCCGCGAGCACGCGGCCGTGCGGCTCAGTGCGCGTGCGCACTGTCCCCGGCTATCCCCACCAGACTCGCCCAGCCGCGTGGCGTTCTGATCAATCTGCGATGTTGCCAGTTCCTGCTGACCCGGGACCCGGGTTCGCTTATCCCTCTTTACTTTCTGTATCACTCCTTCTCCTTCCACTGCATCACCCCGCCATGTCTGCTAAGCTTTCCCCGCTTTGCGCTTCACGTTATGAACGACAGCGGTCACACGCATAAAGGTGCTTCTTCCTTATTTTTGGTGTCGAACGTTATCAGATTTGCGAATTTATCAGAAGCGCCAGATGCGCTCCTGCTCAAGACCTTTATTAATAGGGGTAATGTTCGGTCCGACGTCGTAATTCAATTTTGGATTTTCATAGGATTATGGGTCTTTCCATTGAAATGAGTCTCAACAGTCCAGTTCCTTTGGCTCGTGGAATCTCCCGTGACTGTTTTTGCTATACCAATTTTTCTTTCGGTCCGCCTCTTCTGTACTCTTCTCGTGAGTTCTACGAGGGTTGCCGCAGGACGTTCTATAGAGTGCATTTGGCAAACAATGCTCCATACTTGTGTCTGTTCTTTACTTTTATTGTTCCCTGTTTTCTCGCTCTTGAGCATAAATGCTAATCCAAGCAATATTTTGTATTCAGCTGTTTCGTCATTGTATTATAAGGGCAGACGCGTTGCTTAAAGTTTTTTTTTTAATTCTCAGAACTTTCGTAAGCCGCTTAGCTTCAGATTCGTTTGAAAAACAGTTGGATTATCAGAAACTGTTCGGGTAATAAGTTTTCTTCGGAATTACGTATTAATCGTCACTCCAAAAGTCGAGACAGTTCCGTCGGCTACATTAGATATTTCAATTACATCCTAAAGGGTATTCCCCGCTTATCAGAATTGACCAGCCGATGCCACGTGTGTGGCTCCCACTTGTTGTGCATCGTATGTCATAAAAAATGTACGCGCGTAGCAGCCATCGTGTCTCGGGCGCGGCATCGCCCCAAGAATTCGACACGTCGCCGTTAGATGGAAGCACCTTGACTCATAGAGAAAGTAGAACGGAAAAATTACAGATTCCGTTGAAGTCGGATAGAACAATATCTATGTATTTCTAGTTCGCGAGGACAACAACTGTTCTTGCCGAGAATTCCGTTGTAAGTTACATGTTATTATACAAATTTTCTTAACCTTTAAAAGTGCATATTGTTGCATCATTTACCGATATAGATAATCTTGGTCAAAATTTATTTTCTTTTTATTTCCGATTTACGTAGGCTGCCATTTAAAAACAGACACATCGATAACGAAAGCGATAAGGAGCCTCGCAACAAGAGACACAGCCAATACAGTTGTTAATAGACCCATAGCCAATTCTACACAGTACAAAAAAGAGGTATCCTTCCAACTACGTAGAAACACTTGTGCGCGTTATCAGGTGCATAATATTATCCGTATTCGATGTAATTTTTTTGCTTCGTTGCTTCGAATCATATCTGATACGTACTTTATTGATCGATTACGTAATTTCACTCCTAGCAATATTTGCGTCTTGCTATCCGCCAAATTCCCGAATATTGATTAGGTTAGGTTAGATTAGGGCAGGTCACGCGCGCTATCGCACATTCACATTAGGAGCATAGTGCGTGTATCTAGGTGCGTCGAAGGCTATTTATTCGTCAAGGTAACAATAACCGAGTGAAGTTTTCATGAAATTACAATATTTCCGAGACTCGAGAATATCTGGCTGCGTCAGCCACGACGTCCCACGTGCTCCTCTGACACGTGGGGTAGATAGATATACGTTCCTGCCCGCTGGCTGCTTCTTCCACTCTGAAATTGTTCGTCCGCCTCTATGTACTCCTGGCTCTGTATATTTTTGCCTACGCGCTTAGGCCACGTGGGCGTTTCCCGAACATCCTGTTTACTCGGTTAACGTTCGCGGACAATGTCTCTCGCGAGATTCGCGCTTTTATTGGCCGAGCTTAGGCTCCTTCGATCGGCCAGGCCTGCTGCCAGAAACTTGAGCTTTTCTTGGCTCTTTTTTCTTTGGTGCTTTTTTGTCATCTTCTTAACAGTCGAATCGAGATAACGGTACACATTGCTTTATGGGTATGGATGATTATGCTTATCATTGTTATGCTAATATGAGTAAGAGACTCTTTCATTTTTCTGCTGTCCGTATGCGCCATTGATTCTATGCTTTTTGTGTTGATTGGCAGGCTTCAAGATCAAGAAAGAACGCTCCGATCAGGATGACTTGTTTTGCGAGGAGAAGATGCTCATAATCGACGGTAAGTCAATGCCCAGCTGTCGATTAAACTGTACGCGTTAGAAATTACGAATTGACAAAATTCGGAAAAGGTACTCCTCCTGTCATTCAACCGAGGACGTTCGCGCGGGCCTTTATAGCCATCACGGGCACTAACGTTTCTTCGGTAAATCTAACGATACTTTCTTTTAACGATACTTTCTTTTACATTATTCAACTAACGTCCATTAATCTGCCCGAAATCGTGAGATCACGTTTCTGAAAGTCCCTCCCTCCCTCCCGACTTACGGCAAAGACATACACATACGCCAAGTGATATTTTAAGCCTGACAAACTGTCCTAAGAATACGCGAAACCGAACTCGGTGGGAAACTCGCAGTTCTTGACGTCACCGACTTACGCGGGTACGCGTGTCTTAGGGCAAAAACGAAAAGACAAAAAAAAAAAGAAATTGGCAATCCGACTGGGAATCATCGATCCTCCAAAGTCGACGGAAGATAAGTAGAAGGAATGCTCCGATCATCCAGCATCCGTCGTCTGCAATTGGACCGAAATGGCCGCAGTGAAGCGTCGGCGTTGAATCGCGGCGCAAAATGACGGATCTGAAGGAAATGGTGTCAGGAAGTGGAGCTAATGGCAGTCGGAAGAGGACGCAGTCAGAACGTCCGTTGATTGGAAGTCGGTTGGGCGCGATACACCGAGGACGCGACGGGTGTAGCTCTGGGCGAAAAGGCGTCGGAGACCGACGGCGGCGGCGGTGCTGATGGCGACGCCGATGGTGGTGGCAGCGGCGAAGTAGGAGGTAGGAGAACGATCGCTTTAGGTTGGAGGCAGTGTCATTTAAGTTTAGGCTTCAGTCGGCACTCGCCACTCGCGCGGTACAACTTTCGTTCGTCCTAAGATTCTATTATTCCTAGGAGCCTTGGTAGTTGGGGCTCGTTTTCACAGGCGCGCGCGCGCGTGCCTCGCGGGCTGCGAGACTTCAAAGTTAAAACTTGAAGAACTTGACAGTTCAGACCAATTGCATGCCTCGGTGCGCCCGGGTAAAGCGAGCAGGGACTTTGCCCGATCCACGTGGCATCGCTGCTCTTAATTATTGGCATAATCCGTAGGAATGCGTGCCAGTGATTTCTGTGCTCCGTTGAAAAAGTGCGGCAGCATTTCTGCCGACTGCCAATGACGCTACTTTGCTATGATCAAGTTCAAGACACCCTGTGGGATTGTGTTCCGTGACGTCGTTGTCCGGCGTTGCTCCTGCGACTGTGTCGTTAACGAAAGTTCAAAGGTCGAAGGACAGTTCACGCTGAGGGACTTCGATCACTGCCGATCACTTTGGGACTATTCGAGACTGTACGGTGGTAGCTCCCAAGAGCACTATAGTGTCCAAGACACTCGCCCGTGAAATCGATGTTTCCTGCGTTCGAGGCTAATTTCCCTCTTCCCAAGGACCTGCGAGTTTTCGGAACGCCGAGCACGTGAATCGTCGGACGAAACCGCGCGGTCCGTTTCGCTTGTCCCGAAGGTGTCTCATATCGGTGCGATCCTGCCGGAACTGCCGCCGATAACGTGCCGTGGATGGTGCGCGGCTGTTGTAGATGCGTCACGCAAGGTCTTTGGGAGGAGACGCCGGTCGCGTCTCTCGGGAGAAAATACATTGAGAAGTCGAGCTTCGGTCAACGTAAATAATAATACGGATACCGAAGTGTCTATGGAAATGCAGCTTTGACACGTGCAGTGTCAGCTGGCAGAGTCTGCGGGTGCTGAGCAGCCTCGTCGATGACAAGGAAATCTTTGCGAAACTGCGAAACTGTTCGAAGCCAGGGTCTAAGGCAAAAGGACGGATCTTGGGGACGAGTGCAGAGAGTTCGGAGTCGAAGTCGAGACGCCGTCGTGTCCAGCGTCGCCTTCGTCGCCCGTGAAAAATGGGAGTTTTGTTGATGGGAGAAGGAACGCCGACGGTTCGCAATCACATGAGCTTTAACGTGGCCGTCGTATCGTCCGCCCTGGCGAGGAACGAGAGCAGCGGGGGGGCGGCCGACGTTGCCGTTGGTGCCGTTGGTGCCGTTGGTTCCATTGGTGCCATTGGTGGGCTACAGAAGACGAACGCTAACGATTTACAATCGACGATGATCGATCTTGGGAACGACGAATCGGTGCGCTGGATGCCGCCGCCGCCGAAAAAAAAATGGATACGGCATTACCTTCTCGGTGAGATTCTTCCTCGATCACGAATCATTTATTTACCAAATATTTATTTGACCAAATATTACGAAATATTTTGACCTTTCGAATCAGCGACCTCGTAACGACTACGAGATATTTCTGGTCGTTCGCACTGCTGACTATTGTTGTTTTCATTGTGAACACGTGTCTCCCGGCTCGATTTCGCTGCTGACTAATTGCGGCTACGTCAATTTATGACGTTGATATACACTCGGACCGCCCATGCACGTGTAACGACGAGCGCAGAAAGCTCAAGGAAATTGAAAATTATTTCCGCTCGAAGTTCTTATAGCAATATCGCGTCTCGCCAATGGCGGAATATTGAACGAGGACTCGCAGTAACGTTGCCGTAAAGTTTCGACTGGCTGAAATTTAAAGTCGTATCCCGGCGTAAAAGTTCTCAACTAATTTAAAGTTTATTTCATTCGGCGCCTCACCAAGCAATACCGGACGATTGGTACATCAGTAACGCGAACGCACCTACTCTCGAAGCAGTTTATCCGGAAGCAGACTAAGGATCTGCCCTCCCAACGACCCCGACCGTTTCGTCATTCCATGCGAAGCTGTACGGAATCTTTTGGTCGTTTTGCTCGTTTTGCTCGTTTTGGTCGCGCAGCACCACGAGAGTCGGGCTTTTCGATTGGCAATTTGCTTCATCCTCCAGTTCCGAACGACGAGTCGACAAGAGCGTCTAGTTACAGTTGTTTTTTTTCTTCTTTTTCTTCCTCTAACGAGCGTCCAACCGTCTCTCGTCGCCCTCGCCTCCGTTATATTCGCGTATCGCCGTACGCGTGACGTTGCCGCAGCGTCGGGACGCGTCGGCTGAATGTCGAGAGGCGTCGTTCGCAAGGTCGTTCACGCTACTCTACATACTCGCTCATACCTACAGTCGGGTTCGTATCCCTATACCGTCCAATGACCATCGTCGATTAAGAATTTATCTGGCATTCGAACCAAAGTGCCCTTTTCAGCATTCAGCAGCGACTACTCGCCGCTCTCGACTGGTGCAGTAAGCGAGTGCATTCCCTGGATGCTCGTGGTGGGTACCACGTCTTGCGCTGGCCACGCTGCTTTCCTCGCGAGCTGCGCCTTGCCTTTCTGGCGCTGGTCCTTGTTTATTTCGTGCGCCGATGAGAAAGTATCCAGTCCGTTTTGGACCTTGCTCCTGACTGCTGATTCGGCGATCGGCCGAACTCAGAGTTCCACAATGAATTCGCTTGCGGATAAGCGGCGTCATTGGGCGGCGATTTTAGTTACTAAAATATGTGGAGGTCGCTATTTTTAGGTCATGGCTCCCGCGAACCTATTCCGACCTTCTATAGTCGGTTCGTGAGAGTTCCATCTGTTTTCTTTTTCGACAGTTCGCAAAGCCCGCAATCCTTGGTAAATCCGGCACGGCTGTTTAACAATTCACGGAAATATATGGTAAAATAGAAAAATATATATTTCAGTATACAAAGCCATGTACGCGCATGGTTAATACCAAAAATTGTATACAAAACCACGTGCGTGGTTCGCTAGGGACTTGATGGATTCGATCTGTCAAAAAAAGAAATTGAACACGTGGGCCGACTCCTGTTCCTCCGTATAAGCGCTCCAGCCAGGTCGCAACCCTATTGTCATTGTTTGTCTTCCAAATCCAGAATCTACAGACCCCCCCCGTTCTGACGAACGACATCAGGAAGACAAGCCACCAAGTCCAGGACGTTCTGGGACGCTTCTGCCTTTCTTTCGTTTGTTCATATTTTTCACTGTGAAGTTTGACCAAATCGTCAATGAACAAAGCAATCGCGTGACAAGTGTAAAGTCCGATGGATGCACAGCAGCATTTGGCTCTGAGACACGGCGCGTTCTCACGCGAGCGTCTGTAGTCTGCGATTTGCCTCGCTGAAAATGCACCTTGCCAACTACGTACCGTAGGAGCCCCTACCTTTATCTCCTTTTGCTGACGAAGCGGCGCTTGATATCCTGGACGCGCAGCATCCTCGAGAATTCCATTCGGTGGCTCCCTGAGCGTCACAGCGTATAATTAGACCGAGTCGTCAGTGAACTCGTGAATGGCAATCTCATGGAATTCCTCCTTTCAGGAATCTCTCGAAATAGCTGTGCACGTGTGCCTGTGTACGAGATATCCCTTTCATCCGTTTCACCGTTACACACAATACGCAAAGTGTCTTCTTTGTCGCTTTGGCAATTTCATCTGAACTCGTGCGATCCGCCCGGAGCAGCACGAGAGGCGGCAGAATGAAAATTAAATATTTTCTAACTCGCGTTGCGCCTCGACTCGTCGCTGCTCAAATTCGTCCTAAAGATTTCCCTATGGCGGATTTTTATTCCAATTATTCCCGCTTGTTACGACCTTGCCATATGGACATGTACATGTACGCGTCAACGAATTTACGTATTCTGTACTATTGTAGCTTTTAAAAATGCCAGAACAATGACTGCGCGTCACTCGTGGAACTCTTTCGCCGTTCATCTTATCGTGTTACGTGAGCGTCACGCGACTCTGCTCGACGTGTAGTTCTCTTTTTCCCCGTCAGTCTGACACCCCCTGCCCTCTCTCCCTCTCCCGTTTGCACACGGCCAGCTTCGATATCATTAACCTCGTGAAACTGTCGGTGCGCCAGTGTCGAAAAAACACATAAGGAAGGACAGAAGCATGCTGCTCTAGGCGGTCAGCTAATGTACGAGGAACCGCGTGGGCTATTTCGTGAGCAACAAGTTCTGCGCATGCGCGCTACAGTCTCTGACCCACCTCTCCGTCCGGACATCGCGTTAAGCAGCAGTTAGAATATTTTGGACGATGCCGTTATCAACGCTTAAAGATTACAAGGCCACGCTGTGTCATTTCAGGCTCCATACATCAAAGTCTTCGTAAGCTTATTCATTTATTCGTTCGAGTAATTTTATCAAATCGTCCAACGGCTCTGAGCCTACGCTCGTGTATTTTTGTACGGAGCCAGGTGCGCATGCGCGATCTGTCCTCCGCGGATTCTCATCACTTCTCTTTTATTCCGCGACGCCGATTAATCGTCTCGCGAGAAATCAACATGAAAACGCATCTTACAGGGGTCGAGGAGATAAACGCCTGCAGAAAATCCGCATCGCGACACTCCAATCGTCTCGGTCGATCTTGTCCCCGACGAAGGTCGTCGGCTAAGGTCGAGTTCGAATACATCACGAGTCAAATTTAACATCGCGTAGCAGAATTGAGGAGTGAATTTGTTGCTTGTCTTTTTTCTTTTTTTTTTTTTTTTTTTTTTTTTTTTTTTTTTTTTTTTTTTTTTTTTTTTTTTTTTTTTTTTTTTTTTAAACTTTTTTCACAACCGATATATGTACATTTCGTTTTCGTTAGCTATACTATGCAGAGTTTGATTAGCAGTCGACTGGCAGAGCATGCGAGCGCTAATTGCGTATCAATCAATATCCACAGGTTGTATCTTGTCAATCTTCGCCGTCTCTTATTATAACTGTGAATATTCACTCCGACAGAGCCGCTACGCTCAACGTCATTTTCTGTATTCAGCGACGGAGCTCAACACTTGTGCTGTAACTTTGTCAGATCGTTCGACTGAGTTAAGAGGTGGGTTGGGTTGGGTTGGGTTGGGTTGGGTTGGGTTACAGTTACCGCAGATGCTGGTCGACGGAGGCTTCTGTCACTGACTCATTGCACACAGCGTAATGCAGGACGGCATTGCGCGAACAATAAAATTAATAAATAAGACCCGAACCGAGAGGAAGTCAATTGCAATAAATTATAGGGAAATTATCGATATTCGATTTACGCCATTGCATAACGATGCACTGGGAATTGACTGAGCGAGTAAATCGCTATTGGCAAATCTTTTCCAATGGCTTCTGTAAATGGCGCCCTTTGACAGTGCCACAGAAGCGTAATCGATGCGCACTCTAATGGCCGTTTGCCTTAGCGATTCAATCTCCCTGCTTTCTGTGGATTCCTTATTGTCGCCCCTGAACTTGGGTTCCGACCAAGGCCCCTTTGTCGAGTCGCCCCTTTCTTTATTCAGGGCATTCTCGTTCTGCCCTTCTTCTGCTCCTTCGTGCTAAACATTTTCTTTAACTTTTTATCAAGTTTGCAATACTGCTCATTTACTATTATTCCAAGAACCATTATTCAGCGCGCCCGAGGAGCCAGCAAAAGTTCATAAATATTGTCCCACCGTTTTCTAGACTTGTGTGTACGTAACACGTGACAGCTGGCATTCAATTTGCGTCACTTTTATTATAATGTTATGTCTTGGAGATTATACGAGTTTTTTTTACTCAAAGCATTTTTACATTGACCCGTTGAAGTTGAAGGGTCAAGCTCTGCAAGGCTCTTCCAGCATGCTATTGACTGTGTAACGGAGCGTTAATGACTCCTTGAGAAAGTTATTAGAGCTGTCTCGATGCTACTCTGATAATAATAACAATAATGATAACCTTAAAGAAATCCTATTATCCATAGTTATAATTCGATCGAATTGTTCGCTCATTTCGAACTCTGCCGCTACCGACGACTCGAGCAGAGGCTGAACGACACGGGTATTTTTTAAATTGATCCGAAGATTCTCATTGATCCACGTGGCAATGGGATACTGTCACGTGCTGCGCTGTTTCTCGAAAATCGCATAATCTTCGGTAGTCGCGTCGCCACGGAAGACGCTCGATCAACAGTCGCATCTTCTCGGGCGCAGAGAAGCCCGGAATAGATTTAGGAAGCGGCCGAGCTATGCGACGGAATTGCCAAGTCTTGGTACATGAATGACTTGGTTACATTGGTTACACGAGCATCTTATACGTGCTGCACTGATTTGTAGGCTCGGGACGAACAGCTGTTTCTGATATCTCAGTGAAATCCCAGCACGAATCTTCGCCTTATAAATTCTCTCTCTCAGCTTTTTCCGCCTAGCATAACTTCTCTGGCTTCTCCTCCTTTCCCCGACGTAAGGCTAATCTTACACGGCAGCCCAACGGTCATTCAGAATCGGGCAACTGCGCTTTAAGAATAGGCCGGAGGACAGAATAGAATAGAATGAGAGCTGCCATCGCGTCCCTCGTTGGCCCCGAGGAACGTCGGGAATTCCAGGCGGTTCCCAGGCGATCAGAATGAAAGTGCGCGCTTTGGTATCAGCACAATGGACGAGAGTTAAATTCGTCCGTTGCGTGGATCTTTCGTGTTGTTTTTTTTGTTTTTGTTTCTTTTTTTTTTTTTCTATCACGGAATGTGTTGCGACCATTCGTGTCATCGGTGGGTGAAAATTCTCACGTAATTTTTGTACGTTCACGTTGCAGAGGAGGAGCCGCTCGAGAAAAGTAAAACGAATGGCAATCACTCGAGCGGACTGCGAGAAAGTCCAGTTGTTTCCAGTTCCCGGACGACGCCACCCGTCGCGTCGATTATTGCGAATCCCATCGCCGGACACGTCACTGCCTTTCACTCCGTCGCCTTGCAGCAACAGCAACAACAACAGCTACCGCACCAGATACAACATCAACAGCCGCTGCAGCCTCAGCAACATCATCACAACAATCACAACAGTACACAAAGTCACTATCTGGAGAATCACAATTCGAATCACAGTCATGCCAGTGGACCACTCGTGGTTGACCTTGAGAGCAGCCATGATAACAAGAGGCATCGAAATGGGTGAGATATTTCATCTCCTGTATATTAATTTCTTCTTATATATTTTCCTTCATCTATCACCCGCCAAAATGTTTTATGTTTCGTGAAATCTTGTATCTGATCTTTCTATGCCTAACGTTCCCTGTGACGTCATCTGCCTCCTCGTGGTCCATCTTTTAATTTCTTTGCTTTCGAACGTGTTGGCTGAGGCAGGTGTGTTCCTAAAATTTCAAAAGTATAACAAAAGTTTATATTTCTTGCCGTCCCCAAATTGAATTAAAGAAAACGAAATCGGTAGATTCGTTGTCCAGAACACGTGACGCTTCCAAGATCGCGTGAGTGAAAATCTGACCGAGCAGTACGCGGATGCGCTGATTTATTTCGATCAGAACCCGTCGGCAATATCATCATATGGACTGAATGTTACAGTTGCTAATTACATTGTTAAATCCTATGATTTACATACGTACATCTAGATATCAGTCTTGTATTATACATTGACTTTCGTTCTTAAGTCTCTTTATACGTGTCAAGTAATATTTGATTTTGGAAAAAAAAAAATTGATTTATCCGACCCTCCTTACAACTTTGGCCGTAAGATTTTGCGAAATGACAGTAAAGTGACAAAATCATCTATCCGTTATATTATCTTAAGAAAAAAAAAAAAAAAAAAAAAAAACGCAAACGTGCTGCTATATATATCCGATTTAAAGCGACATATTGCGATTGGGTTCTGAGCGACGTTCACCGGTATTGCGCCTACAAAAAAAAAAAAAAAAAAAAAAAAAAAAAAAAAAAAAAAAAAACACGCAAACGTGCTGCTATATATATCCGATTTAAAGCGACATATTGCGATTGGGTTCTGAGCGACGTTCACCGGTATTGCGCCTACAACGGGCTTCAATTTCTGAATTTCTTACGTAACATTTAATGGGACGATCATTAATTTTGTTTCGAGTTCGAGTGTGTATGTAGCACGCGTGATCGTTCGATCCTAGGATCTCTCGGATAACAGAACTTTTGGCCTTCTCCCACTTACAGCAACAGTAAAGATCATATCCACGTACAATAATAAGGAATACGTCAGTACGTAATAGCAATATTACGCGTTACTCCGTATCTCTCTATCATGATATTGCTTTGCGTCTATAGAAAGAGGAGAGAGATCAGCCGCGAACAGCCTGCGAGCGGATCGGCGCGCGACGATCGTTGCGATCGAAGTTTCCTCGAACGTTGACAAATGATCGATCAGAATGTTCAGACGCGTCACTTGTGCCGGCGTCACGAGACATTCTGATCCGTTCGCGCGCTGTCCGCGAATTCGTGCGTCTAGCGTAAAGAGAGAAAACAGCTTTGATATGGACATTAAGCAATGTTTGGTGAATTTGATAAACCGGTGGTGGTTATAAGGTGAAGCTACGAGTGGCCATTTTGATGCAGGCCATGTGTAATCCGTTCTGGCACGAGAGAGGTGCATAACAAATTGGAGAAGAATCGCAGAGCGCACCTCAAAGAGTGCTTTGAGTTGCTGAAGAGACAGCTGCCGTCCCAAGACGAGAAGAAATCCTCGAACCTTTCGATTCTCCATGCCGCTATAAAGCATATACAGGTTAGTGGATCCCATTAAGTGTACACGTATTCGAAGTTAGTCATCGGCGCAGCTACAGTGCCGAATCTATATTTCACGGTATTACCAAGCGTCACGGTGGCCCAAGCGTCAATTTCGTAATGTTCGATCGAACACGAGAGGAGGAGAAGTGTACGTTAAAAATTATATTATTTCTGGACAGAGACGAGCGACGCCTTCATCATCCCCAGGATGGAATCCGCGTCCACGTTTCTTCATTACGCATGAATTTAGTCATTACTTCGAGATCGTTCTCCGTGATTGTCCTGACGGTCGTCGAGATTCGTCGCGACTTGCGGGGCGCGTGGCTCATTTTCAAATATCAAATTGAAATGGACGCGAGCTCCTCGAATGAAGAAAAAGAAAAAAGCATTGGGAGCGAGTTCGTCCTGGGAATCGGTTTGTTTTCCATAAATTAGTCTCCCACAAGAGGAGTTCGTTACAGGATCGAGGCCATAACGACTCGCTAACGAATCCTTTCAAAGTATTCCGAGCAAAGCCGTTGGCTTAGGCCGCGTCCACAGTGCTCGTCCCGCGAACGCGCCTCACCTACAGCCTCATTCACTCTGCCACTGGTTCGCTCCTGCGAACTAGAAAGCAGCTAGAACCTTGGACGGGCGCGGGCGAGGAGCAAAGATTTAAAAGAACAAAGAGTCGCGCTCGGTTCGCACCAGCGAACTTCGCTCACGTGAAAATGCGCCGGTTCGCCGAGTCAACTTTGTCGTTGACTTCGCACGCAACCGGCGCGCACGTGCGCGTTCTACTTCCCGCTGCTGTCTCGCATTTCTTTCTTGAGCGTCCCGCAGTGGAAAGAGTCTTTCTTTGACAGTCGTGCCCGAGGAATTATGGGAGCGTGAACCGTGCACGTGCTGCCCTCTCGGGGATATCGGGTTACGCAGCTGTTACCTGGGATTGATACCCGCTGACGTCTCTAGCCTTGACGACTAAGCAAATTTACATGATTCGCTGTGACGCCTTTTAATTACAATTTGTTAATTGGTATTGCCGAAAAAACTTTTTCGTGTAAACTTTTGCTTTATGTAGTTCCAATGGAACGTCGCCTCGAATACGTGACTTTAGGCAAGATGAATGGCATTTGTTGCTGTTCAATGTAATAAACTTAGCGCTTTTGCGATAACCGATGTATAAACAGTCATTCAGGTTAGTTTAATTCTGCGACAGTTTATCCGGCGATAAGTCGAGGCGTAGTGCGTCAGAACACGCGGGCCATGATGGGTTTGGGTTATTTACAATGTAACGTATTTAGCTAGGGCACGGGGACCTATCGCCGACACTTAATCCGCATCGCTCGGCGAAGATCGGCGATTGCACAATTATACGTTCCCGAAGGATGCTATTTGTGCCTCAATGTCGTTGCGGTTACGAACTAATTCAAAGCCCCGACGTCCGGTGACCTGCTGATCGCTCATCTTGCGTCATCGACCCTGCGCATGTGCGATCCGCATGTAATTTGTCAGGTTACGTGTTCACGAGAATATCCTTAATGCGTATTTTCTTTCTTTCGGTCGCTCGCGTAATCTACAGAGCTCTCCTCTCTCTGTCTCTCCCGTATCGATCAGCTGTGTCAACGATACATAGTTACGTTGCCGATGTAGGACCAGCGAAACGAAGCCGTCGATACTCGCGGCGAAACGGCCGAACGGCGATAGAGAGATCTCCTCTAGTCCCACCATTCGCTTATAGGCATAGGGTATCCTATAGCTGTTCGCATGTCAAGTGTTTCATATGGGATCATGCCTAAAAGTGAATTGCCGCAGATTCTCGTGATTTTCACTTTGTTGTTTATTACAAGCCGTTTAAGCAACAACCAGCAACGTTTGCCTGACATTTGAAGCCAGCTAGTCGCGCAGCTTCTGGTACCGAATTAACATTTAATAGTCGTAACGAATTGTCTTGGCGACTCCTTGGATTCGTTTGATCGGTGGCAGCGATGCTAAATGTCAAATCGCAAAGTAGCCCAGGCGAGAGACGCTTCGCGTTAGAAAGAGGTGCTGACTAATAAAGTACAGTGGTGCTGTAGATTCTACGAGTGCGAAGAATCGAGTGTAAGGAAGCGCGCGTGCGCGTTGCAGCCAGCAACGGAGCAGCAGTAGCTGGTAGGTGTAGTTATTATAGTTCCAGCGCGCACGTGGGTCGGCGATGAGGTCGGGTGAATGCGCGGGGCACATGCCAATTTCCTTGGCCGAACGAGCGCTGCCACTGACTGACACATCTACAGTGCTGGCAGCCTTCTTGCTGCTGGTGGCGCAGTGCTTTTGCTGTAGGGTTCAAGTCGGTTTAGTGGTGCTGGTGGTGGCAGCAGTGCCACCGTCTCCTCCGGCCACGGACTCTCTTATCCATGGCTGCTGCGTCCCCGCGAAGGTCGTCTACTTCCCCCCTGTTGTTCCCCGCCGCCCCGGGCGACCGGCTTATCCCCACCGCTGGGCGCATGGCATGCGGCCGTGCCAGAATCGTCCTACGGACATACACGTAGACGGTACAATACGGCACGGAATTGCAGAACGCGGCCTGTTCCGTGGCCATGCTTCCGAAGGTGGTTCCAGCCGTCCCCTACCCTGCCCAACTCTATCCCCACTACCGTTCGTCAGTTGAACCCCCCCCACCGTTGATCCTGAACGTGTCTCAACAGTCGCCACGTGATCGCGCGGCCATCAGAGCCACGCCGGACGGCACGCAGAGAGTTTCACGAGCCGAGTCTCGCCTCTCCCGTTACGTGGGTCGGTGCTTTTTATCATTCTCATAGAAATTCTATACTTGGGAATTAAGATGCAATTTAGCTGTCTGTCCTCTATGGTAAAACTATCTAAGCTTGAGAGTGACTTTAATTCTAAAACTATTTTGTCAACATGCATTTGCAACAGTTATCAGTCTTAGTCGTTTAATCCGATGAAAGTATTTGAAATTACCACACGACGATCCGTAGTCAGTCCATGTTTCTCATATTTTCTCAATTCCCGTAAATACGCACGTCCAATGGCGCCTCGAAGCATTTGAGCAGCGTACAAGTGGGCCATATAAATCCATGAAATTTTGCTTTTTTGGCGAATCTATAGGACTCTATTTTCTTTAAAAATTTTCGGAGGAACTGCGCAGACAAGCATGGTCGTTGCGCAATGGCGACCTCGACCTCGATTAGATCGGACAGGTACACGTACTCAATCTCGAAACCGTGGCACGGTTATTCCGCATCTCTTTATTATTGAATTTTAACGTTGGCACCACTGCCGGCGGACGATCTTCGGCGATTCGAGGAGCCCGCCGGTTTTCCTTGGCCAACCTGCCGGCTCGGCGCGTTGCTTGTCGATCGTTCGAATAATCGGCACTGCGTGAGCTGTGCTTCTTCTTCCCAGTCAGTCACGCGCTCGCGCGCCTTAACGCGGCACAATTGATCGTTACCGTAAATCCTCCTGGCCCGGTGAAAATGGGTAAGCGGCATTGGACCGAGAGGCCACATACTTTAATCTAAAGCGCACAAGGTCGTCCGCACGCGAATTCCTAAAGATTCCTGAGTTACCGCGCTAATCGTATTCTTTGGTAATTGCAGTGACACGAACAATTTTCAATCTTTTTTTTTTTAACGATGAGTTCGTACAGCTTCCGTTTTTTGTTATTCGCTGTTCTTTTCTCCGTCTCCTGTCACGGCGCTTCCTGGAATGGATCACGTATAGGATTGATCGATTGTGCAACGTCGATATTTAAAACGCGAGAGGCTGACGTTTGACTTTTAAATATTCGATCGCTATCTTAGGAATCGGCATTGTTGCGCAAGTGCGTATATCACAAAGCATCTCACAAAAAAGAAAAGGAAACGCTACTGACGATCGGCTCGAAAATAAAGTTATATTTTTTTTTGTTTTTTTTTTTGGTTTTGGTCCTCGTGCAATTTCTCCGCACGAGGATTATCAATATGTTGGATAAATGTAGCTCGCACGCAGGCGAACGGCCTCGGGCACGTAATATGCGTAAATGTTACATTGTTCTTGTGAGTCAAGCCGTCGAGACATACGTGGGTGCACGCGCCACTGACCCAAAATACATCGGAGCTCCCATCGGAATTTTATTTGAATTTCGCCCTGCACTGCCACTTCCAGGACTGTAGGGAAAAAATCAAATTTTTTTTATTAATCATCCAATCTCCTTCGTCGTTAGTGCGCGAGACTGGACGACCCGCAGGACGTAATTTTCGTTTGATACAAAAAGTTGTCACCGCGAGGGACTAACTGAGTGACAAATTCCACGAGGAAGATAATTAACGGACTTGTGCGATGTTCAATGTGTCTCGCAATGGCGAGATGTAGTTTAAACAATAAAGTTTGAAAAATCACTGCAGGTTTGAGATACCATCGCGAACCGTTTTTACACAACAAACTGACCTCTCCAAAATCTCGAAATTTGGGCACGAGTCCAAAAGCAAGTGGAGGCGTGCGTTATAACAAATGATGCAATTCGATACGTTCCGAAATTTTGTAATCGGCCGCACAAATTTGTACGTGCAACGCAAATGGAATTTGTTGCTTTCATGTGTAATTGTAACGATTAAATAATTTGACCCGACGAGCAATATATTTTCTATCGAAATTGAGGATAAAACAATGAAAAATGACAACGGCCGTAAGTCAATGAATTACTTGCTAGTTAATTTCTCCCAGAGTCCCACGTGATTCAAATCTAATTCTAAAGGTATCGTTAAAGTCATGGAAAACAAGTTCTACCCGAAATCGTGCTATTAAGTTTCACCGTTGAAAGAGTTTTAAATAAAAACTTATTTACACGGAGAAGCGGGATCGTAAAATAATAAAATTGACTACGAACCCCCCTAAATCCCACCAGTTGTTTTCTAGCGATGCTCAGCGCCAGCGTTATTACGAGACAGTATTATTAGACATTTCTTCTAATATTAGAGAATTCGTTATATATATATATACACAAATTCAGGGCTCGACGTATTCTCATATTTTTTTTCTGTATATTTTAGTTCCAACCGGATAGCTCAGCGCAAAAATGTATCCTCACGCCATACGGAATCAACAACTACAGAATTCGAATAGATAAATATGGAACGAGTCTCTAAAAAAAAAAAGTTGGAACACCCAATGCCACGTAATTAAACGAACAAATATCTAAATACAGATCACACGTGGCGAATCGAACGGTTCGCAGTGTCTGTATATCTTCGACCCTAGACTCTCTCGTTACGCGTCGTCCGTCCAATCCACGTAGTTTCCGCGAGGGAGCGAGTGACGGAATAGAAATACTTAATTTCACGAGAGTATTGTTTTTCAAGTCGACCCGTCGTCTGTCGATTTAGTCGTAAAATATGCGAGTGCTTTTTTAGGTCGGCGCTGGACAAGTGCCAGACGGACGAACGACGAAGCATCAAGAAACGTCGACGTAGTGCGGATCGCCCATCGGGGATCGCGGCTGTCATCTTCCACGCGTCGCTGAAATAATCTAGCGCGTATTTTCGTTGCCATCGTATCTCGCGTCCCTTCTTCTTTCTCCCTTGCGACATTCTCGATCTCCCTGTGCCCGCAGACGTGCCGTAACAGGAGGCCGAAATCTAATACTTGCAGCTGCACTCGGCTTTGACTAGGCAAAAGACGACGAAACATTAAACATTTTCATGTCCACGTCGAGGTGTCTCCTCTGTGCGTCTTATTGCCGCGACCGCCTCACAAAGATCACACAGGCTTGGAATTTACAATCGACCTACAATCGACCTACAATCGACCTACAATCGACCTACAATCGACCGAGCGTAATTGGCAGCCTGCGATCTTTTTGGAGTTTTAAGCGAAAGGGAAACAGCTGATGCAAATGGATTGCCCGTAGAGCGGTGTATCTCTGCATGACCCAGTTGATTCACGTACCGCCACGTGCTCTTCCGGCTCTCTAGGAGGCGTCACGGCGCCTCCCTTTTGGCGGCGTCTCTTTCCTCGTGTCGTCATTGTCGACTCACCCGCGCACCCCTCTCCCTACTTATCCCTGTCCTATTATCATTAGCGGTGCCACGGCCGTCTCCCCCCGCCCTGCCCGGGGGTGGGGAGGGGAGAGGGGGGGGGGCGTCACGCTTCGGCTCCCATTCGCCACCACGTGTGCGCGCCTCGTTCTTGCTAACGAACACTCTCGCTTGCGTTTACACGTGCGCCAACGTTTATTAGGAGCGATCATGAGCGATCATGAGCGATCATGGCCGATCGCGGGCGCTTCCGTCTCTCTTTCTCGGTTAAAATGATTCGTTAGCCGTCCCTTGTGGACCGCACCGTGTGACGTGCTCTGTTTAGCTTTCGTGAATTGCGAGTCGTGAAGTTAACGAGGGCTGGTCTTTTATCCGGACCGTGCACGCAGTATTCGATTATTACCTAGAACGTAATTTGACTCTTCGTATTCTTCCTGTAGATCCATTCGAAATACGAGTCCTGCTTGTTCGCGGCTGAACAAAGTTTTTTTTTTTCAAATTTATCCTTGCGAAGGATGGTCTTATTAGGAAGGATTTTTAAGAGCTAGATTTTCGTGAACATCGTGCCATTACGAGTGTAGGGTTATTGATTGAATAAATATTGCGAAGCCAAATGACATTTGCAATTAGCAGGATCACTTCGGTCGGCCCCTCCGTCCTCGGTAGTGCCGTTAATTGATACGCTTTTCATTAACGTTACACGAGCCATTCAATGAGACGATTTGTCAATTGGAAAACGACGGTTCTCCGATACTTTGCGTAATAATTGAAACCTGTTATTCCCACGAATTTACGTAATACTTATTTCCGATCGAAATCCACTGGAACGTACAAGACTTGTTGTTCCGAATCAGTCGGAGGGATTAGAATTCTTCGTTAAGAGTGGATCTCTTGTCACGGACAATCCAACTTCCTCTCGTTTGACGTAACGGGAAATTCACTCCGTCTTCGGAGACGCGAGCCCATTTCTTTTTCCACGTGGCTTCCGTGCTGCCGATAAGCGGCAATTGCGTTTGAACATGAGAAAGGGACGTTAATGTAGCCTGTAGCGTAGAATACCGTGTGAACTCATTGTGAACCTCTTGTGCGATAGGCTCAAAGAAAGAAGGAGCGCGATTACGAGCACGAGATGGAGAGGTTGGCCAGAGAGAAGATTGCCGCCCAGCAGAGGTTGGCAGCCTTGAAGAAGGAGCTGGCAGCAACTTGGGATCACATTGACTTCAACACGTTGCTGCCCGAGCAAAGCTGCACGATGGATGCCACGGCGAGGCAAACCTGTGAGTCTGGAACACACGGAGAACATCGACGAACAATTCTGGTCGAGCGGCTTTCGTATGGGCAGGTCCATTTAATCTTTGTCAATTATAATTTTCAGTCTCGGAAAGCATGGACGTCGACGTTACTGGTCTTGCTCGCGGTGGCACCAGGTATAGCAGCACCAGCAGCCTCAGTAGCGCAGCAACGGCGAATTCGCCCCAGAATCTTCAGACGACGCACACGACGCACGCGGCACACACGACGCACGCGACGCCGCCGAGCATTCACAGTCAGGCCGCGACGGCGGCCGTCGTCTGTCAGACCCAAGGTCTCAACTTGGCCCAGGGCTCCAGGGAAAGTCCGCCAGCGAGTTCCAGTCCTAGAGCGTCGACGCCAAGTATTCCTACACCTGCGCAGGTAGATGATCACTCTGCTCAATACGTTTGTACGTCTCCAGGGATCATTTCATTGAATGACCATCCTTCTTCTCTTTTTAGGAGAAGGTCAACACCTCGCCGACGATCGTGCAGCAATCTCATCTTCATCTGCCCATCAGTGCTCAGATGCTGAACACCAGTCAAGGGCTGGCGACTATCGTCCCGACGCTCCAGCATCTCGGCTCCGGGCTTCGGGTTATACCTGGTGACACGAGGCAACTCCTGGTGACGCACACGACCGCCGGCAGTAACGAGTCCCGACCGCTGACCTTGGCTGTGCAGAGCAGCACCGATCAGTCCAGGACGCCTCTGATCGCCGTGCAGTCGAACACTGGAAGCGAGCCAAGGCCCGTTGCACTGGTCGTTCACTCCTCGGCGGCGAACGACAACAGGGTGACGTTTGTCCATTCGAATCTGTCCAATAATGACAGGCCTTTGGCTCTGGCTGTTCAGTCGACTGCTAGTGATGTCAGACCACTCACTTTCGTCCATTCTGGGAACGAGGCGAGACCTCTCGTTCTGGCTACACACTCACCAGCCCTTAGTGTCTCCGGTAAGTCTGCTTTATTCTTTTTTCACTTACACTCGTGTCGTAATCGATATTTCCTGCAATGTTTTATTTCTCAATAATCTTTACGGACTATGAGTATAAGGAGACTGACCGTATTGTATGTATCAAGTATTGTCACCATTCACGCTTTACTTCTCTACACGTGAAATTTGTCATTCGGATAGATTAAATGCTTCTACTTGGATATTTGAATTTTATCGTTTTTCTGGCATCTCACGACCTCCACTTCTTTTTCATTACTTACTGCCTTTGTAGAAAATCTAGTGAGATGTACGACCCGTTATAAATTTATATTTCAAGACTTTATGTATCCTAGAACTGTATTTGCTGCAATTTACAGTTCACTCATTAGATATTCGACTAATATTTCTATTGCAGCTGCTCAAACCAGGATAAGAACAAGCGAGTCACAGACGACTCACAAGATGGTTGGCGGTGTGACTCTCGTTGGTGGTAACGGATCTGAGCTGACGAGATTGCCAGGTGGAGCAGAACTGAATATCCTTCCGGCAAACGGTATGGCACATTCACTTGATTTAGTCTGCACAATTTCGTGATCTTCAAGTATTAAATGGTGTGCACCATATACCAAGGCCAGGTCGCAATGTTGCGATTTTGTAATAAACTGGTGCCAGACTATAATGCAGATTTGCAGAGCTCGTCCAAAGTATTTATATTGGAGGAGCTTTGAAAATCTGCAACAGTTGATCCAATATAAAATTAAAACGAAATTGCGAACTTCGATACTCAAGGCTTTTCATTTTCTTCAAGGTAGAGTTCGTAACATATCATTTTATTCCTAGGGTTGACCCTGAGCCACGCCGGGGTGTCGCTGCAAACAACAGCTGGTAAATCTGGCTCAACCATCATGCAGAGTACACCCTCGACAGAAGGAATAGCTCACATGGTCAGTCAACATACTCCGCTGTCCACTTTGACCCCACTGGTCACCCCCATGACCGTCGTCTCCCAAGGCAGTCAAGTGACGGCCCACATCCTGGCACCGTCTAGTCTCGCCGGAAAGATGATAACAACGCCAATCCTGAAGTCCGTAGGTCAAATGCCCCTGGTGAACGCCCAGTATTTGAACACGACGACACTTGTGAAACCAGTGGTCGTCGTGAGTTCACCGTCAAATGCGAGCGTCGTCTCTTCGACGCCAGCATCCAGCAACCAGTCGCCTTCCTCCAGCGCGCACTCGAGCGTCTGACAAAATCAAAGGAAGACGAAGCTCATCTGAGACAGGCCAAATTCACTCCTGCACCTTGCAGATTGTCGTGCATTCTCGAAATTGGGACGCGACGCGAATCCTTCCCGCCAGTATGGACGTAGTGAACTCGACTCCTCAGCATCGTGGAGCCTTCGCAATGTGTCCGCGAGGAGGAGGCACCTGGAGTTGACGTTGAATTGGTACAACAGGCGAGAGAGCATCCCCGGAATAAAGTCACGATTCGTGGGACGCTGAAGCAGATAAAATCTTGTGAAGATTTTCAAGAGGTTATTTCGTTTTGAACGAAAACCGTAATCTTCGAGATATCGAATGAGGTGGCGTCAGCGGTGGGATCCACGCAGCTACTAAAGAAGCTTTTGCAATAGATGACTGTGACAGAAAGTGCGAGAAGCTACGAAGCTGTCGCCACGTGTCTAACGATTCTTTTCGCCTATTAACGATTAGATATTTTTGAAGTGCACCGGCGATGCCAAGTAGTCGATAAGACCAAAGTTTCTTGCGTAGGTAGCTAGTTGCGCTCTATTCGTTGCTCATTGTTCTAAGGCCTCGACATAGGCATCAGTGTCGGTGCTGTTAGCAGGAGGATGCACCAATCGATTGTTCGCGTTTCACTTGTATTGAGTTATCGGCAACTTTTTTGAACTTTATCTGACTGAAGATTTTCTTTTGAATTTCGAACGAGTAGAGAGACGCGCGCGTACGCTGGTTGTGCTCTGAGGGACCGAGAGAACCCAATATATCTGATAACGAATGTACCTAATGACCGGAACTATCTAAGCGGGATTGATCTTCGTTTCCGGTTGAGGACTCGAGGCCGTTTCGAAAATTTCCAAATGTCATTAATATCTCTAAGTGAATTCTTTCTTTTTTTCTTCTCTATTTTGCTAACATGGAATCCGCATGTACATTACAAAATTTCTTTATGGGGTTATTTTAATCTCATATTCAACTTTCACTTCAAATCCTTGAACGATATGATACCAAGAATATCATTTGGTATTGAAAAATTTTGTTAGCAACCGTTCGATGATCAGTCTTCGCAATTTCGAATTGGTCGATACGTATTAAATTGGTGAGATGATAGTATTTTGAAATGTGCCGATTGGAAAATTGTTATTTGAATTGTTTGAATGAGAGAGAAAGAGAGAGAGAGAGAGAGAGAGAGAGAGAGAGAGAGAGAGAGAGAGAGAGAGAGAGAGAGAGAGAGAGACAAAAAGAAGTGACGTTAAAGAAGAACAATTGTCCCGTAAAAGAAATTCATAGCGGTTTCTGAATTTCATGATGAATTTTAGTATATATGTTCTTGAGTGTACAGATGCGTATGGAATCTACGTCGCATGATCATGTGCAAGAGTTGGAAACGACATTGGTTCTGTTTCAAAAGTTTTCCGGCTAGAGGCGCAGGAAAAAATAAAATTTTTAAAATAGTAAACGTTTATCGAGATAATAATCATTCGTGGGTAATGTATTATTGTCAACTATGTCGTATTAGCAATGATGTCAAGAAAGAAGTTGCAGAGTGAGAGAAAGTATTAATTACCATTATTTGACCAAATCAACTTGTAACGAACTATATTTAATTCCTATCAATATGGGTTCAGTGAGGTTTCCCTATTCTGTAACTTCTTTCTGTGCGCATGTATATACGTATATACGACTGTACACGGTCTTCACCGCTGCGATCGTCACGCCTTTTGTACGTTAGTATTATTTTTTCACGTTCGCGTAATCTCCCTCTTTTTTTTTCCATGTTTTAAATTATTTAGTTGAGCGTCATCAACTTGAATCAACGAGGGGTTGTTATGTTATATATATACAGGGTTATTCACGGCAAACCCGCAATTGACCGTGAACGAATGATTTCATGAATCAGAGCAGAATTTCACATTCTTTCATTTCTTTAACATGGCCGCACTGCCTCTCGATTAACAGAATTGTTCGATCGCGTCCAACTTCAGCTGGTGCGTTTCCCGTGAATAACCCGGTATACATAGTATTACACGATATATACATATATGTGCCGCGCGTATAAATTGAATCGATTGTTCGATTTGTACACCCGGCTGTGATGGAGTCGTCGGTACTTGTACGCAACGGATAGGGATAGTAAGCTATTGGCTAATTTTTAAATGCGTCCAAGAACAGAAAGAATAAAAGGAAGATAGGAAAAGGGGATTCACCCTCCAAGAGGCGCCACATTCGCGGTAAAGAGAAAACCCGTAGCCTGCACTTTCTTTATATCTTTGTTCACCCTCGCGCGTATCTAGTATGTGCAGGGTGTTTGGTTAGTTAGGAACCTTCCGAGTCCTTTGATCCTTCGGCCACGACTACAATGAACTGAACCAAATATCCCGATACGCACTCTTCGACTCCTGCTCTGCCACGGTATATCGTCCACCGCTTTCTTTCTTATTCTTGTCCCCATCATCGCCGTTCAATCCGCCCACTCTTGTTTTCGCTCTTTTTAAGTCAATATTATTTTTTTCAAAAGTCTGCTTTTCATGTAAACTCAAGCTATACGTCGACTTTAGTTGATCCAGAGCATAGCTGAAAGCGCGCGAGTACATTTGAAGCGAGTGTGTTTGAATGTAGCAGAAACAGAGGAGGAAAGGAAAAGCGAAGGAACAATGAAGTATGAAATTGTAAGACCAAGAGAAGAAATTGTAAGAGAATTGCGAATGGAATGCATGGTTGTGTGTGCGACAGTTGGCAAAAGATGATAACATGAATGAAGAGGCGGCGGGCGGCTGGCGGCTGGCGGGGTGGAGGGTGTGGAGCACGAGGCATCAAAGATGGCGTTGCGTGTCGGATATTAGCGGCGCAGCACGCTTGTAAATATTGTACATGGAGAGATGTATGTTGCGCAAAGGGTAGGAATGCGGAGGGCGGGGAGGGAGATCGTACAAGACAATGTGATATAAGTAATTAATGGAATTAATTAACAATCGTAACGATTAAGGGGAAAAAAAAAAAGAAATGAAACGTTAAGCAATTTCCGATCGTAGACGTCCGTCACTAACTGTTATTATTGGATTAACGTCGCAGAACACACGTACACACATATACACGCAGGACGATACCCTAATTGTACATAGTATACAAAGAAGAAACTAAATGAAATCACGAAATACAGTTATATTGAATACAAACGATACCCACGTGCGGCCAATTTTTACTGTCCCGGTGGAACTGGAGGACGTCACTCGTCACTGCGTCATCTAACCATAAGTAACAAACAAAACTACGGCGGCACAGTAGCTAACGGGCGTGAACAGCCGTGAAAGAATTCTTTGAAGAATTCGTGTTCCTTAGGGCCAGAGGGTGGTGGTTCCTCTCAAGTGCTGGACTCGGTACTTGTCGGCCGCCATTGTCCAATGAGCAACGACGACCAACGGACGGACCGTTTGTATTTCCCTTTGATCTCGCAATGGTCAGTTTCATGTTTCCATTGACGTCACTGAATTCTTTTTTTTTTTGTTTTTTTTTTCCCATTGCACTCTGACCAAACGTCTGATATTCCGTCGTGTCGTTATTGTCCCGGGCGGTGGGCGGCGGGAGGTTCGGAGTTGGTTTGTTGTTATCGAGCGAATTATTGTAAACCGGGGATTCCTTCGTTCGATCTGTATTTGCTCATAGACTGAACAGTACAAGAAAACTGCCGTTCATTCGATAGCCTTTACTTCTCGCGAAGTTCTCGACAATGAGAGCGGAGAATCAAGGGAGAGCGCTTACGCGGGAAGTTCAAACTGGCCATAATGCTCTTTCATTCTTTGGCTTTATTTCCTTCCGAGAATACAAAACCGAAAGAGGGAAGTATCGGTGCCGCCTTTTCGCTTTAATGAAATTTAGCCGATCATCGATAATCGTGCGCGGCACGCCCTGACGATGTGACAACGGATTAACGAATTATTGAGTGACAAAATTAAAGGAAAACATGTCAATGGATTAAACGTTATCCAACTGTTGTTATCATTACCGACGTTCAGTAAAATCGATATAGGCTTTTGCTATTTGCTTCGATCGTAACTGTCATTCGATTCCCTCCGAATTTACTCTGCCGAACGTCGTCTTGATGTTACAGGAAGTTATCTTTTGTTCTGAGCCAGCTGTTCCACGATACGCGGGATAGTAATTGTAACGGTGTACCTACGGCGACGTCACGTTTAAGTGAATTTCAACGGCGAATCGCTTACTTCTACGGTGGACCGAACGAAACCCATGAGAACTCTCGCCTTAAAACGAGAGAAATTGTATGGAACCTCAGCTTTCGTTGCCTCGTTTAAACGTACCAAACAATAGTTTTGCAGAATTGGCTGAGCGTAGATGGTATAGATGGAGTTCGCGAGCCTACCATTATTTTCATCTGAACTTAATCATAATATGTGTCTTATAATATTCTAAGTGTTACGATAATAAATTAAGGGATAAGACATTAAGGTATGTATGCTAAGAGAGTCTTTAACACGGGGCCCAAAGATTGTGGCTAGTCTTGGCAAGAAAATTTTCATCATTTACTCGAATCGCCGTACGATCGTTTACCTGAGTTCCAATGTTTTTCATTATAGTCTCATAAGCGATTGCGGTTCGCCTAATTTTATTAAGAAAGTACAAACGGAACGCGAATCAAAAGCCTATTGATAATTCTTTGTAAAATGATGGCAGTCGTCTTTGGGCCCGGCTGATCGAAGGCTCCTCCTAAGTATCGGTAATTACGAATTAAAAATTAAATAGCCTCACTGCTCAAAACGTACGAAGCTAGATTGTCGAAATTATCAGGAGGCTGTCGCGTTGGCTCTCGCTCGCAAAGCCTCGCATAGAGAGAAACGCTCGGATTTCTAGGAGCGAAGATCAAATGGTCGACGAAGCAGCGGATCGTCGTAGATGGTCGAGTCATTGGTTCTGGGCGGATCTGGCGCGAACCTTTTTTCCTCCTCTGGCACTGCTCCTCGTTTGACGTCACGCGGTAAAGTCAAGCTTTCATTTGCAAAATCGACAAATGAGCCAAACGGAATCATTGTTTCTTGGCACGCGAAAGGGAACTAATATTTTTTCTTATTTCGTTGTGTAAGTCATCGTTGACGTTGATTCGTTTCTTCTTTTTTTTAGAACCAGGGAGAGGAGGGTAGGAGGATGACGTGGTTGGTGGTTGTCGCGCAATTTGTCAACCGTCGTACGCGTACAGTCGTATGCGTGTGGGTAGAAAATATATCAGAATTCCATATCTTCGATTTCAGTAGGACGGGACGTCGAGTCGAGTGACGAACGATCAAGTTGATTGAAGTTGATGCAGTGATTGAAGTTGGTGTTGATGTTGAGCGTCGCCAGAGTCCAGACGGACGCGTCTCCGAACTGGTGGTCGGTTGGTCCATGAAAGATTCGGTCCTGGAAAGACGGTCTCTTCCGGGTCCGTTTTCTTGGCGACAGGCGGAATTGTAGAATACTTTTTTACGTAAGAAGAAAGGACGGCGGCCGTAGCGCGGACAATTTTCGTCAGGCATGACGGTCCGAATGGACTGAAATTTGAAAATTATAAAATGCAAAAATAAAGTTGTTAAAGAGGCGTCCCTGCGCCGAGTGGAGATCGGCGTGTAATTAGCCGGTTAAGATAGTCGCGGAGTTATCGTTAATTCTTTCTTGTACATTGACTCTGTATATTTCTGTATATAGGCAAACTTGATAATATTGATAAATTTACTAAATGTCTATGTGTTAACGATTACGATAAGAGACACAGTTACGATTCTATGTAAATACATAAAACAAGTCTACTTGCTGTAATAAAATCGGTATGAAAATTTGTTTCTCTCTTGTCTATTCTATTCATTTTATCTTAAGCACCGACACTTTATTTTCCATGCACCGGTAGGCGCATTTTCGAATACCTCGAAAATTCCAATTCCCAAAAATTCCATGAGCAACGACGAATGATAATCGTTCCCTGTTAACAGGCACTTTGTCGGGCTGTCAGATGGGGATAAGCGAGGAAGGAGCATTAAATAAATCTTTAATTTAATGATCCATTTATTAAAAATATTCACTAATTTACACAGTGTACTTCATTACTTTCAGTTAGAGTAGAGCACGACACGATCATAATATTGTCACCTATCTACGTATCGAAGTGCGTCTTAAGACGCAATTCACAAAATATAAATCATTTCACGTTCGTCCTTTATAAAAGACTAGATTCTTCCTAGACACATCGGCAAATTTTGAATTACTAACTAGATTTCATTGGTTAGTTCTAAGCTTGTTGGTCGAGTTGCTGTTTTATTTACCTCACAAGAGTGTCTCGATCTCGCTCGATAATAATAATAATAACGTGGAATTCTGTAGGTACGATTCACAACATAGTTGAACGTCGTCTTAAAGGACTAAGATTGCTGGGATTGGGTGACGAAGGGGTGCTAGAGCCGGGGGGAGGGGGGAAGGACGTAAGATGGGGGTAGGCTGAACACCGATTTACTTTTTTCACACAATAAATGCCATTATGCGTGCGGGCGTGTAATTTTCTTTTTGTAACACGTCACTCTTGTTACAACAGGTGTCTAAACTAGTTACGAACATTTCGGATGGAACTGTAGATTCTAGATATTTGTTTGCACACCGTGTAAATGGGGTGACCGAATGCCGGAAACTGTACCAACGTTCAGCAAACACATCGAATAATCCACTTTGTATCTTAATACCCTTTCAAGGGGCTTTCGCTAGGAAATTTTGCAAATTGCCATAAATTACAAAATTATTATATTGACATAGAGCAACGTGATCGTTGCGATGGTCCGTAAAGTTCGTTAAGTTTTATGGCTGTTAGTGTAGATTAGAATTTAAGAATTTATTATAAATGGGCATCTTTCTCGACAGCTCAAGTAGATTTGTGTTCAGTGACAAGTCGGGAAAGAAAATTGGACGTTTGACGGCCGAACGTTGATTAGTTAACGATCATCGGATTTGAATGTGCAAAATTTCCGATTGGCAAGATATAAGTTGTATTTTTGCTTTCTACACGCTACACAGTGTCGGTTTTATATCGATCGAACTCGTGACCGCGAGGCGCACGCAAAGTTCGTCACAGCGGACAAATCGGAATTGAACATCGTCAAAGATGCACGATTATACATACTTTGGATTTTTCTTAAACGTATCGCATCCTGTCTCTCGAGCTACTCTCGAACGTTAGGTGGCAATAAAACGATAATTGCCTGCGCTAAGGCTAATATCAAAAAATCACTATGAATATTTAAGATTAAGGTAGAAAACATAAATGTATAAACACTAATGTAAAGGATTAGGTAACTTAGGTAATTTTCATTTGTTACAAGTATTTTTTTAATCTCAAAATATATATTACGCTCGCACTAGTGTGAAAGCGCTCGATAATTCGCGAAATTAATGCAATTCTTGTAATCTTCTTGATCGCACTTTAATATGAATTTTCGACGAGACGTCGATCGCTTTCAATGGAATTTTCGTTATAACGGCTTTCCTTCTCTTTAAGGATTATATTATATAACGCGACGCAGAGTTTCCACGATGTTGGGTCACTCTTATAGAAACTATACAGCTTTGGACAGATATTCAAAACTCCCTTTTGCGTATGCCCTGTGACATACGCACACTAGCAATTCAAAAATGCTAACAAATATCTTTTATAATCGAAAGGTTAGGTAATGCGAAAATACATTAAATTAAGATGAAATATATATATATATATATATATATATATATGTAAAGGCTATATACGAACTCTCTTGGCTCACAACTATGTATAAAAATGGGTTTTTCTTCTTAATATATGATCGGTACGTGTCGACGACTACTCTAAGAAAAAGGAATGCTATTATGTTAGTAAACGTTCGTGCATTCACGAAATAATTTTGTTTTCTCCTCTTTTAGATAAAGCTTATTAGAGAATATTCTGCTGGAGAAGTAGTATAGCTGAGACTTCTTTTGAAAGACAAAAAAACAAGTGGCACGATGATTTCTAACGAACAACGGTATCATCCTTAGAAGGTGGCGCTCAACTGACATGGTTTCAGACTGAAGGAATGGGATTTAAATTTTTTAAATATTCTTTTTCTCTCGCAATGATCCGTCTTTTCTCTGCAAACGCCGAATTGCTCTCATGGATCGTCCGACATAACTTTTGCTCTTGCAATTTCTTTTTCCAGTATTTTAATCATGACCATGTGACGCGTTAGGTTTAACAATTTGCGTCCAAGTCCACGGGGCGTGGGTTAGGGGGAAGACAGTTGTGGCAGATCATTATATTTTCAAAATTTAAATTATATCCAACTTCTGTCTTTTTTCTTTACAGTCAGACGAAAGTTATCGCTTCGTGTCCTTAAGATTTTGAGATTAGTTTCTAATTGAATGGACGACCAACGGGAGCGCTCTCTAGCTAACAGAAAAATAAAAAATCTCTTTTTCCACCTATGGATTTCACGAACGACCATCTAATTGCATTTAAAGGTCTATGCTTATGTACAACGACTATGGAGTATTTTCTCTGCTTTCATACTCCGTATGAAGATTTAGATCCACTCCGTTAAGTTTACCTAGTTACGTTGAACACAATGATTGACAGATTCAATCACAATAGATTTACAATTTCAATAGCATTTGTTACGTTCGTTCACCTTACATCGGCTGCTAATCAGATAACACAATTTCCGAGTATCAACACTCCACTGGTCATTCGTTCCTGTAACTTTATTTGCGTCTTTTCTTCTAATCGTTTCATCTTGGCTGTGTGACCGTCTCGCGGAGATCGTTCACATCAGGCTAGCTTACATTTTTGTTCTCTCGACAATGACTATTAACTTAAGTTTTATTGCAGAACACTTGTTTTGGACCACAGCTGAACGCGAACAATTTTTGTGAGTGCATCACGTAAGTTCATCGAGTAGAGAATGACAGTGGCTTTAGCAAATTTCAAGCACAAGTATAACAATTGATTGCAGGTTGATCGAACCAATCAGATTATTAATCAACGAGGCTGGACGCTCTTGGGTCTCCGATCGATGGAAACAGACTCTTGAACAACGATGGTTACTTGAATATATATTGACCTAATTGAGGAATATAATTTGTGCTGTCGTTCATTATAACATTCGTCGCGGTACAAGTTGCAAGTTGTCGATCTTACACGAATTTTTTATTGAATCCAATTTCCTTTTCAGCTAATATCACAGAAATTAATTGAAACTTATTGGACCTAATTAGATTTTTCATTGATTGATGCTCAGTGTACGAAGTCAACAGGAATCCTGTGAACGGAGTGTGCGTGTTTCTCATATGGACGTTGAACTTCAGTTTTGGAGTTGAAGAATTTTTTCGAATCAAATACATCTTCTTTACGCGTCTCGCAGGAAATATAATTAGTTGGGAGTAAGAGCGATAAAGAAGTTCAGTGTGTATTGGTATGTACTTGCAACTCGTATCGCATGAGCGTAAGATCGTTTGTTCGTAATTCCACAGTAAATATTAATGAACGTCGAAAAAAAAAGAAAAAAAAAAAAAAACACAAGGTAGAAGCCAAGTGCCAGAAGCCGCGCTTATCAGTATTAAGGCAAAATGTAAAAAATGTTATGAAATCACACACGTAAAAGCTTCGTTACGATATAAATGCGGGAATTTTTTAAAAATTCTCAAACGTCACTTCACATCCAGATCGAATAAGGCGCGTGTCGACATTTTAAGTGTACATTGCCTACTCTTTGCTGACAATTTGTCCTATTTGAACTCTTTCAATTTTGTTTGCATGTGACTGTGCAATTTTCCATAATACGTCCTTGCGCTTAGCTACGCCGTCCCGTTTGCGGGGAAGGACACGACTTGGGTCTCCCTGTAGTCTTCCGGCGAAAAGACACGACGAATTTCCAAAGTCTGACGAATGTCGGTGGTACGTAGCAGCACTGAAGTTATACCTAACCGGGGTTGCCGGAGCTTGAGGTAGAAGTTCGGGAAGGAGAAAAGTTGAGAAGCGTCGCTGACAGGTAGTAGAATAGCAGAGCAGAGAAACCATTGGCAGTATAGTTTGTGTTTGCCTTTCATTTGACCGTCATTAGAATTCGTCAGAGCGACGGATGCGCCACCTGTAACGCAGATTACTTGGCTCCTGGAATTTTTCCTAACACCTGAGAACAAGTAAAAGTACCGGTTAACAATGACGTAAAACATGGCTAGCAAGCCCTGAATATATAACACAAAGAAGAGGCAACTCTTGTTTTCTCAGACTATTTACAAGCGACTCGTTTGCATCGAGCGAGCAGTCGGAGTTTCCTCTGGAAAAGAGTCCGATCGATTGACGAGCATTAATGTCAAGAACGTACCTTCGAAATATCAACTCCCGTCAGGGCTTGAACAGCTGGCGGCACTTGTCCTACCAGACGCGTTATCTCTCCGCTCGTTGCGTCGTTTCCGCCTAGTAGAACTATTTCCTCGGTTCGCGCAAGAGGAGCCGCCACTTCAGCGGCGATCTAAAAGGAAGAAAAGTTAAGAGTGGGCGAATCGAACGAAAAGAAATTAACTTGATTCGCTCGGCGAGACCCGGAACTTGTCAATTGACCAAAGACCTTCCCGACCTACCTTGGGCATCGCGTTGAGTATGATGTTGAGAATGGCGGCGTTTCCGTAATTCCTGTAAACGGCAGCCTTCTTGCGCATCCGTTCAGCCTCCGATATTCCGATGGCTTCCATTGCCTGAGCTTCGGCGTCACCGATCAGTCGAATCCTCTCGGCTTCGGCTTTGGCCGCGTCTACAGTTTGGATCCTGAGGAGGTCGAAGGTAGAAAGAAAGCAATGAGTCGCGACGAACAAACGAATAAGCGAACAAGCGAACAAAGGAGAGAGAGAGAGAGAGAGAGAGAGAGAGAGAGAGAGAGACGAGGAACCTTTTGCCTTCGGACAGCTTGCCGATCTTGTAGCTCTCGGCTTCGGCTGGCAGGCGCACGGTGCTTCGGAGCTCGTGCTCCTTACGGAGGACTTCCTGTTCCTCAACCTCGATGAGCTTGCGTCTCTCGACGACGTCGATTTGAATCTCTTCGTTTCGCAATCGTTGCTTTATTTTGGCAGCCTGCAGCTCGTACGCCAATTGGGCCTCAGCTTTCTGAAAAGTGATCGATCGATTTGCCCCGTTAGACGATTTCTTTATCCGAGCTTAAGAGTCTTCGATTCCAATGAGAAACGTTAATCCTTACCGCCGTGTTGACTTCCTGATCAAAGTTCGCCTTCTGCAGCTGGAAGAGTCGCGCGTTGTCCTCGATCTTAGTGTCTGTGTTGTACTTAATATCCATCGCAGCTTTCTCGCATTCCGCTTCCTGTTACAAAGACGTGTTTATCGTTAGACGCATCTTTTATCTTAGACGCAGCTTGTCAATCGGCGACAGTGCAATGCGAAGGAGGGTCCTACCCTAATGCCGGCGTCGCGATTGGCCTCGGCGACGCCGATGTCGGCGTCCCGCTTCACCGCGGCCGTCTGTGCTTTTCCCAGGGACGCCAAATACTCTACGTCGTCGTAAACGTCTTTGATCGTGAACGAGAGAATCTCAATGCCCATTCGGCCAACGTCAGGCGCTGCTACTTCTCGGACGAGAGCTGCGAACTGGTCCCGGTCTTTGTACACTTCTTCGACTGAAAGAGTTCCTGAAACGAGATTAAATCGACTCGTCAGGTTTACTGACTCTTTGACGGGTGGGCTCATCGTACGTCACGTCATAACAATGTCGTGTCTAACGAGGTAAAATTATATTCGCCATTCCGACGTTATTGCGTAATCAAGTCCTATTGCGCAATCAACTTTTTGGATCAGCCACTTTTACGAAACTTGGTGGATCGGAAAACAAAAATTGGATAATAGATACACCTGTCATTCAATGTGCTTAACGAGGATGCGTACCTCTTGACAACTGCAATTGTCCCAACGACTGTCATTGCTACTGACACACATCCCATCCAGAAGAGAGCCATTACGTTTCTATTCTACTTATACGAATCTGCTTTGCTTTTCTTAGAACCTTCAAGACTAACGTGTCACCGTAGACTGATACTCTTGGTAATATCGGCCGGTATCATTCTTATCGTCGACTTTGATATTATCATGTCAGGAGCACAAGTAATTCTCGCAATCTCTGGACTTGCGTAAGCAGGAAACCGTCGAGTCGAATCTTGCTGATTTCTGAGACTCGAAGCGCAAGATCAAATGACACAGCACACAGTCAGCACCGTTTACTGGAGAATCGGAACTTTGAGCGAGCGCCTGTTGCATATCACTTTTTTTTTTCAAATGACGCGTCACATAAGGATTATCATACGGGAAGATAGAAATTAAATAAATAACAAAACATCCGGAGACAATTCTTTTTGGCCGGAAGCTTCGATAACCTAATCAGAAATTCCGCGCACAAATTCCATCCTGATGAAAAAATTTAATTGATTTCAATATCATTGTTTATGGTATTTTTTTTTTTTCATTTCTTAGATATTTTTCAACCGGTTACGCAATACCTAGCTGCTGATTAAATTCGTGAAGCAAATAGTTGACAGTCACGTGTTTTCCTTAGAGAGTATTTACCACGTATAAGGATTGCGTAACGAGAAAATATTCCAAGAGGATAATATACAGAGCGAACGAAAAAGGTAATAAGAATTCCACGCTGTCCTTCTGCGCGCCGTATCGCTCGGATCTACTCTGCCTATGTCCGACACCGAGCCAAGGATGTGGACTAGGCTTTAGGGTAATTACCACGAAGGCGACGTAACTTGCCGATATTGAGTTTAATGAATTTTCAAGCGAATGACAAACGACGTAGCCTCCTACCTCCTACAGCTATTACGCATTATACTGCGAACACATGATTTCTTTGACCTCAGTCAGCGCCAATCAACGCTGCTTCTATTGCCGCAAGGCTCAGAGCTGCGCGCTGTAATTGTCTCTCGAACGATTCGTTTTCTAACACGCGTGCTGGCTTGGATTACTTTGCGTTCACTGGCACGTACTTTTCCCTTTACGAAATTCTAATATCGGTATTTGTGTACATATAGGATTTCCAAAACTCAAATTTTCCCACTTTCCAACCCCTACGTCCTGCCACCTCCAACGTATATAAAAGGAACGTCCCTTGGCTTCGGGTCAGTTAAGTCGGTCTCTACACTGTACACGAAACTCCTTGCCAAATACATTGTTCCAATTGAATTTAATCTACCCAGCGAAGCAGCAACACTTTGCGAAATCCACATGAAACATGAAATATTGAGAGGCGAGTCTTTGGGTCGTAAACGTAAAGCACCGTTCGATATATCGAACGCGTGTGACGACCTCGAGGAGAATTGTCCTCTAGGCAATGGTGATAAATATTATATTTCCTAATCGATATCCGGTACACTCTTGTGCGCCAAGCAAATATTTTCCGTATTTCAGTAGAATCGTCAGAATATTATTTAACCCTTTTAGTGCCGGACGACGATATATCGTTGCGTATGCGACGGCACCTTATTCTTCGCATCGCGAGGAAGCTCTATTACAAAATAAATGTTGAAATACAATTAGCATTACGTTATTCTCTCTCTTCCTTCCGTAATACGTTGTTTTTTGAATTATGTAATTATCATTTTCAGTCTGATCCTTATGACCTTCTTCCCAACTCCTTGTAAAATTCGTCAAATTCCTCCGGTCATTCTCGCATAGGCACCGGTTTTTCGCCCGGCACTGAAAGGGTTAAATTGGAAAGAAATATTTTCCTTCTTCAATCACCAAGGAAACAAAGTATAACGATTACGTAATGCGTATACCGACCGAGAATGGCGCGCAGGTGACCTTCCAGAGTGGACAATATGGTAGACTTGATCTCGTGTACACTCTTGCCCAAAAATTGTTCACTGGCCGTGTGTAGAAGCTCATCCGCCTTCATGATCTTGCACTGGGCGACCCCTGTGACGGTCAATGGAACGCCCTGAGCAGTCTCGACGCTCTCGCAGACGGGATTCAGGGTCATCACCTCCAGGGAGAGACGCTGGACGTCCGTGACGAACCACCAGGTGAAGACGTACCCACCCACGATGGTGCGCTTCCTCGTGGAGCCGCAGCATCCTCCTGTTCAAGGGAAAGAAGAAAAACAAATATTTAGTACGTCGTGACGGGTTGTTCCCGAGACTTAGAGTACCCAGACGTGAAGCGAATACGAGCAAAGTCTGGATTCGCGCTAGCAAGCATTTCTCTTGCTCTCTTTTCTTTGGTCCCAAGATCAAGAAAAGTCAAGTCAAGTGGGCGCAGAATCAGCGGCGCAGGATGGGACTTGCGAAGCGTGCGGGGCGTCACGTACCTCTCAAAAGTCGGCCGCGTGACGTCACTGGACTCTCGCAGAACTACTTGCGATTTCACTGAACTCGTAAGACCCTTTCGTGTACCTACGATGGGTGCACTGAACAATGAACCCATTATACGTCACACGTGCGTTTATTTTCCCCACGCGGAAGATTTACGAGGAGACATCGAGAGTCAGAAAGGAATCCAATTCTAATTGTAAGACTTAGCCTTAATGTCGTAATAACGAGGAGTCATATGGCTGGCATTGATTTTACTACGGAAGGAGGGAACGCGCGGCCATTACGAGTCCATGGGAATTCTACGTGACCTTTCGCTGGCAGTCACTGTTTTCTTCCGCCGTTCAATTTGTATTTCCTGCACGGTGCTTGGGTTCGTGTCGCCACGTTAAGTAGGTCGGCCGTAGCGGCTAGGTCGTTCTTTACCGTAAGACCGTTGCTGTGACGTCATCGTCACTCACCGAGTATTACGATTTTTATGATGCTTCCTCTTCTTCTTGAATTGTCATTCGAGAATTGTTATCGTCACTGAGACGCATTTTTTTTTTTTTCCTTCGACCGGAAGACTTTATTTTTAACCAAGGTTACAAATCTTTTGGTTCATCGGAACATCTGCTGCTCGTTACTACGAGTCCTGCTTGGTGCTCGGTTGCCGTTATTTTGGAGGAAGCAAATGCCGATTCGCTGGAGCGTGGCGAGCGAAGATTGTTGCTGTGGGAAATCCGAGTTACGGGCAGCGGGACGGACTGTAGCTGGGTTACGCCTGACAGCAAACAAGTTGATGCTATGATGAAAGATTGAACGAGCAGGAGTATAGGAAAAATTATGAAGTTTGGAAAATTCCTGATGGCCACTGCCTGCTACTTTCCATAATTGTTCGACGCATTGCCGGAGTGTTCTCGGTGGGACCGTTTCACGATTACAAATAGACTATTACATAACAAAATGGCCGGATCGTCAATTGGACGTGTCAGAAATTCTCTACACAACCACCGTACTATTTTGATACTGATCCACGTATCAGTGAAATTTGATTCTTCGGAAAATTGCATAACGCAAACACCTGATTTTCCCAACGATTCCCCTGTAGACCGAAACGCATTAATCGGTTCTAAACATAAAATCTATTCTAGCGAGGAGCACGTTGAAGGTTACGCAATAGCAAAAACTGTTGAATAAAGTCGAGCCTGGAATTGGGCAATTTACAGTAGGATCGACAGAAAGTTCGTAAAATTAAAATTGAAGAATAAACCGCGGGAGAGAGGAATGATGAAAATAGTGTTGGGCGTAGACGCGTAGCGTAGGAGAAGGCGAGAAGAGGAAGGCATCGTCGAGAGTAACTTGGGGCCGCAGCTGCCGGGTGGCGG